CAGTAAATAAACTTTTCAATAAGGATATTTATCATTTACAACAGGGGCTTAAAACAAAGTTAAGACAAGAGGAGTGATAAGTAGAATTAGAGAAGGTTTCATATGAAGCCAAAAGATGCAGAACGACCAGACAATAATCAGGAAATAGTTAAATTCAAAAAGAACAAACAAAATAGAAATATAATAACCTTTGAGTGAGGTAGAATAACAAGAAAATAACATAAAGAAAAGAGAAAAAATAATAGAAGAAATCTGAATTAGGACAGGAGCAGAAACAAAAAGGGAGATGAGGGATACTATCTATAGTGGAATAAGAGACTGAGTTAGAGAAAGAAAACAAAAAGAAAAAAAAAGAATTTGCAGAGTAGGATGAATAAAAGAAAGAAACAAAAATGAGTTTGAAGGGCCTCTTTCAGACTATATCACTGCTGTCATAATATACAGTATGTGCTGCCATGTGCAGAGCCAAGTCCCCTGATCTCAGCTAGCTGGTGGCAGAACCCCACAACGCAGACTGAGCTCAGGCTGCAAGGCCCAGACTGAGTTCCCCGACCTCCTGAAGGGTTGAACTCCACTCAGTTCTACTGTAAGTTTCCCCCACCACTTCTTTAAATATGTTCAAAGTTAAAAGTGCCAGAAAATACTCTTTATGACCACCTCTGCCTGTACAGAGTGGGTCCAAAGACTGGTACAATCAGGAGGTCTAAAAGCAGAAGGGGAAGGTTTGGGGGGGCTTGGGGGTGCCCGCGCGGCTACCTTTCTGGCGCTGAAGATGGGGGGAAGATGCGGGGAGGGCCCAGAAACATTTTCGATAGGGATGATATTATAAAAACTTCACTTGCTAACAAAAAACAGGCTCTTCTTTGTGAGGAAAAGAAAAGTTTATTCAAGTTAACAGGGACTAGAAATAAGGAGATTCTAGCAGCTAGCTGGGAAAAGCCGAGTTCATCACTTCTACGTGTGGATGGGCTGGCCAGGGGAGAGGGGAGAGTGGCCACAAGCTGCGAGATTGCATCTGTGAGTGGATGGGTAGCACCGGGTAAGGATAAGAGAGATCAGCAATTCACTGGGAAAGAAATTAGGCTTATATAGGTACGAAGGGGCTAAGGATTCTGGAGCGACACATTTGATTTGGCTGCCCAAGGATGTTCTGCTCAGGTGTGCACACAGGTATTAGACAGTCATAGACAATATTGTTTATCCATTTGCCTCACTTACTGAGAAGCTGCTGGCATTTGGTAAAAGCAGCCCGTTTATTTTTCCTGTTGATTTAGAGCAGGCCTGACAGATAGAGGGGAATTAAGTGCAACTCCCAATCTACCAGATGTCAGATATGCCGAGTTTGTGTTCCTTGAAGTCAAAGGATGAATTTTTTTTCCTTTCAACACACACTAAATTTTTTTATTTCATCTTTTTTGTTTGTTTTTTGAGACAGGGTCTCACTATGCAGTTGAAACTGACTCACTATGTAGCCCAGGTTGGTCTTGAACTCACAACGATCCTCCAGCTTCAGCCTCCCGAGTGCTGGGATTACAGGCGTGCACCACCACACTCGGCTTTCTTTTTCATGAATACATTTTATTTTATCCCATTCTCCCCCTCAAGTCCCCTTCTCTCCCTATGTACAAAAGCTTTGTTTCCATTTTTTCCTAGAAAAATGAATTTAAAGAAACACCAGAGGTTAAGAGTAGGAAAATTTTATTGAGAAAAGGAATAGGAAATAAGAATGGAGAATAAGAACAGCTCCTGAGAGACAGGAGGGGTTCGGGAGAATAGGTCACCAAGGGGGCCCACTTCTCGAAGTTTTATAGAGCAAAGTCACGAGGGGAGGGTACAATGTGGGTAAACATATAATCAACCAATAAGATTACAAGTACAGTCGCTTTGGTAATATTGACCCAATAGTAACAAGGGTATGTGGACCAATGAGATAATGTCTATCTACTATCTATAGGAAATCCCAAAAAGGTGGTACCAATAATCTCAAACTTCTACTGATCCTGAAGGGAAATATGCAAATCTGGCCATTGTGACTTCAGTCTTCTTTGGATGCCCCTCCAGCCACAGCCCAGCCTGTCCGACTGCCTACAATATATCTACCCAATTTAGCTGTCCATAGCAATTTCACATATCAAAAAGTTTCAAATGTGACATCACTTCTAAAGAAAATTTGTTTCTAGCTGAGAATTTATGTAACTCCAAATGAATCAGTTTTATTATCATCAGAGGAACTGTTGGAAGTAGATAGTCCTTAGAAGGGGCCCAGCAAAGAGTAAGTGCAGAGATAACAATTTTCTGGCCCTTTGGTGCAGCTGTTCTGCCTGCATCATACGTGATCAACTGGCCTTGTAAGAACATCATGTTCCATGGGCCTGGGATGTAGCACAGTGGTGCATCGCCTGCCTGGCAAGTGCAAGGTACAGAGTTCAATCCCTGGTACTGAAGGAAAAAAAAAGTCCACTTATAGAAGACTGGGCTCCAACCACTCCCTTTTGCATCAAAACAGGCAGGCCATATATTTTATGGATTTAAAAAAATTTTTTTGGCTGAGATACGGTCTCACTACGAAGCCCAGGCCAGCCTACTAAGAACTGTACAAAAGACAAAGACAAGTACTTAAGTCCAAAGGATGTGTCCATGGGTCATAAGTCGGAACTGCGGTCCTCCCTCATTCTGATACTACATCCCCCTGGCTAGAGATGGCTGTGGCACAATTAATTTTTTTTTTTTTTTTTGGTACCAGGGATCAAACTCGGGTCCTTGAGCTTGCGAGGCAGGCAGTGGAACCACTAAGCTAAATCCCCGGCCTATTAAATATTAATCTATTTCCCCTGTGGCTCTCATATGTGCTTATCACTGAGCTAACCCTTTAACCCACACTAAAGGCAAGGTCCAGTGTTACCAGCAACAAAAGGGCCTGCACTTGGTATGTCTGGCTCTCCTCACTCTGCAGATATAAACTATTTAATGAGAATGTGGCAGAGAGCCATGTAAAAGTAGCCAGTCTGGGATTTAGCTTTATCTAACACCATGTTTCTTACTGTATAACCTGTGTAAGACCTAACTGAACTAAAGTGATTCCATGTTGGACGAGGCCGTGTGTACCACTCCCCTTTGTAGTTGCACCCCTACCTTTGCTTAGGAATGTAAGACTGCATAACTTTGTAATCTAAATCCCAGTCTCAACTGTGATTAATGTGAATTAACAGGTGAACATTTAGTAGTTCTGGGTAAATAGATGAAGATTGTTTTACTCTTTGTCTGCCTGGGAGGAATGTTTTGAAAACCTTGGGACATTCTGTAAGCATCTTGAGTAGACCCCCACCCTGCCTATCCCCTTATAAAAAGGACCTCAGCCCCTGAGCTGGCTGGCGTCTCTGTGAGCTGCTTGGCTCCGGGAGTGCCGTCTGGCCAGACTAGTAAAGGTCTGTTCCCTTTCCAACATGTCCGGTGTGTTCCTTTCCGGGTGAATCTTGTGGCAGTCGAGCTCTTTGGAGTGGTAAGTAAGGCCCTTGGTCTTACATTTTGAAAGCCCTTGGTGGCTGTTGAGCTCCTTGGAGTGGTACTAAGGCCTTAGGTCTTACACCTGTTGTTAAGAAAATTTCTTTTTTCTTTTTTTTGTACCGGGGATTGTACTCCGGGACCTTGCTCTTCGGAGGCAGGTGCTGGAGCCACTGAGCTAAATCCCCGACAAGAAATTTAATTAGACAAAATGGGATCGAGATGCAGTATGTATCTGTACCAATTCCCCAGGACAAATGCCTTTATTGTGTATCGATATCATACTGGCCGTGGTGATGCACGCCTGTAATCCCAGCACTTGGGAGGCTGAGGCAGGAGGATAGCTGTGAGTTCAAGACCAGCCTGGGCTACATAGTGAGTTCCAGGTCAATCTCAACTACATAATGAGACCCTGTCTCAAACCCCCCCCAAAAGGGGGGGATAAAACCCAAATAAAAATCAAATCACTTATGCTAAGTGTCCACAAAGCTGTTTATCTGGCTTCCCAAGGACTTGGAATTAGAAAGATAATAGCCAAATTCCCCAAACAGGCCAGTTTCTACTGCCATGATAATAAAGGTAATCCTTACACAAAAGCAATAAACGGAAATAACTCGGAGGGAAAATTTAAATAGATTTTTTTTTTTTTTGTCTGCGTCTGAAATCAAGCTTCCACTGGTGCTAAAAAATCTAAGCTATCTGAGTCTGGGCTTTGCCGGTGGTCCGAGGCTAACCTCCGATGAGGGCCTTGGAGACACCAGCTGTCAAGGAAAACCCCCTCTCCAAGCTGTGGTCCTCTCAGCTCGCTGTTGTGTCTTGCCGAGACCTCGTGGCAGCGATCGGTTTGATAACTTTCCCCTGAACTGCAGTCACGATTAAAAATGCTACCGCAGCCAGGGTGCCCTTGACACACATACTATTTTCTGGGAAAAGATTATTACCACAGACATTGAGCTGGGAAGCGGAGACAAATGGCTCTCAGCATGCTCAGCAGCGGTTCAAAGTACTGCGGTGGACTGGATTCAACGAAGGCTTCCTTCCTCCACTTTGCAAGATAATCACAGGGACAGCCCTGCTCCTGTGGATTATCTGCAAGATAGAGGAAGGGGGAGGCGACGCAATAGACTAGACTGGAAATATACCCGGAACCCTAGCTAGAGGAGACGGGAAGGCCCGGAACTCCACAGCAGGCAACGGCTGGGGAGGGCGGTGATGTATTATTTACTTTCCACGCTACTCCCAGAGACCGAAGCTGGCTCAGCCCGCGGTGATGTCACAAGCTCAGACATGCTCACGTGACCA